TAATTGCTTTAGTCAGTGAGAAAAAAAAAAAAGTAAAAACCATATATCGATCACCTTGTCCAACTTTCAATTCTTAGTTATTTAATTCCTAATAAAGTCATAGAATTTAGTCATAAGCTTTTTTAAATGTCTTCAATAAAAGAAACAAAGCCAAATTTTGATATTTTAGGGTACATACAATATTATTGTTTCAAATTTTTTAGAATTTAGAATAAAAAGTAAAAAAATAATACAGATTGAGAAAATCTACAAACACTTGAAAATCTTAAAAATAGATGGTCTAGATAACTTGTTACAAAGTTCGTTATTTTTTAAGACTTAAATTTCGCTCTCTTTTCATCAATTTGAGAGTTCTCCAATGTCATAACACTCTTCTAAAGGATTTCTAAAGTTAAGTGTACATATTTGTCCATCTTCCTTCCATTCATTGGGGGTTGCAGTTGGCATATGGATGCATTCGTAGGTGTAGAGGTAAAGTGCACCTTCAAATTTTATCATGGCATATAATTTTGATGTAAAATGTTCATAGGATTATCTCAAAATCTATTTTTATATCTAAGTATAAAGGTTTAAATTTCAAAAATGGTTCAAATCAAGTAGATCTATAAACATATGAAAATTTTGAAAATGGACAGTGTAGATAATATATTGTAAAATGCACTATTTCTGGGACTTAAAATCTTTTTATTTTTCATAGTCATACATTTCGATGTTGAGATGATCAATCAAAGGGTCTCAACATTAAAACTATCTTTTCCGATGGAATTTTTAGGGGCATCCGTAGTTCTACAATATAAGGTGGCATCCTTAAATAAACTTTTTCCTTCATTGGGTGGTGATCGACAGCTGTAATTGTTGCTATGAACACATGGACTCCCATAATAAACAAAAATAAAAAGCATATAGGACACCATATTTGAATGGTCAATATTTGAATGGTCGCAGTGGCAAGCGACCTAATTTTTCCCTCCTCTCATTATTTTCTTAGCGGGCCCTGACTTTAATACGGTGATCGACTTACTGTACCCTCTTGCCTTTCCATTAAATCATGAAAAATATCCATTTTATTTATTTGATGTTTCTCCAAAGTCCAAACAAGAAGAAGGCAAGTTTCTCCCAAAGGGCACTCTAGGAGTGAATAACAAAATTGAGAATCCGCTTTACTATATAAATGGGAATAGAATGCATAGCATTTTTTTTTTTTGCTACTTTTTCTCCAATTTTTTTCAAATTCCTTATGACTTGATCTACCATAGCCTAAAAAAGGTTTTTTATTCAAAATTAAAAATATCTAATATAGAAATTGATATGTTTTTGCCATATTTCTCACCCTTTTACCGTTTTATTTGATTCTCCTTTGTTTTGATACATTTTCTCTCAAAAAACTCATTTTCGATCATTTTTTAACTACTCTATAAAAACTACATTGCATTTTTTTTGGATCAATGTTGCTAGTAAATGAAATTATAAGGACATGTTTACTTCATATGAATTTTCTTTTGGTGAAAACATTTTCATATGGAAAAACTCCTCCATGTGATTACTCATGGAATTTTTTCAAACTAATTGGTCCATGATAGAAAAGTTTACCGGACCAAGTGGTGTGAAGAAAATTTCATCCCTAATCAATCACATGGAGATGTTTTTTCATATGACAATATTTTCGCCAAAAAAAATTTTTGCCAACCAAATGTACCCTAAAAGATGAAAGGTTGGTGGTCTTCTACATTTGACCTTGATCTTTTTTAATATGATTTAGATATTCTTTTTTATTTTTTTAATGACTTAAATATCTGTTTGATTGAAAATCTATGTTTGTTTGATGCTTTAGATCCACGAGCCAAATAAAATCTATGATTTGTTTGTCAATTCTTTTGTTTTTTTGTTGGATCACCGATTCGGCTTAATAGGATCGGTCCAACAATTGCCCAGTTCAATCCGGCCGATATGGTGATTAAATCACTGGTAGTATCTATAAGCGTTTTGAAAAACAAATTTGCCAATTGAACCAACCACCATTGTACTAGTTTGGATCATAGTTAGCAAGTCTCTTATCAAAATACGAGTTTTCAAGAAATATTCAAGTTTTTTAAATCCATTAAGAACTTCAAGTTTTTCAAAAGATCTTTGGAAAATCTTTTTTTTTTAATGGAAACAATATAAATCGATATTTTTCTTTTTTTAAGAAAAACCTCTTCCGTATAATATTAGTTCTTCATTAATTTAATAGCTTTGAATTTTGGTTTAGAGATGAACACATTAAAAGTGGGAGTAAATTAAGAAGTTTAATTGAACAAAAAAATTCACCAATATGTTCCCTCAAAAGAAGTGCAATATATTCTCCAAAAAAATAATCCATCAAAACAACCATATACCTTAAGATAATAATTAGAATTAGATAAAAAGTAACCCAATGAAAAGTCCATTATAAAGAACAAGAGAGAGATTTAGTGCCAGCTTAAGATTTAGACAATTGGGAAATCAAGTTGAGCTTCAAATATTTGGATTTGCTTAAGAATTTTTGCTTCTATCTTTCTGCACACGGAAGCTTGACTAATTTCACCTTTTCAATTTTTTATTTTGTTATCTTTCACTAGTGTATATAACATAGCAATTTGCATGAACCATTATTTTATGTTTTTGGGTTTTTGTGTTTTAGTCAACCTCAATCCTATATTGAGGGTCATTTTTGTTTGTTTTCTTTGAACAATAATGTCATACGTTGGGTTACTATTCTTGTTGTTTGCTAATGTAGTGTTTGTGTTTAATATTGTTATTTTATTGTATGTTCCAAATAAATCTATCATATGTTTTATGTCATAACAACTGAGTAAGAATTGTTGTTGAATTTATTGAAAGCTTAAACAAAAATTTATTGACCTAGGTAATGACATAAAAATTACACTTCAATGGATTTAATATATCCATACAATAACCACACTTATATTCTTATATGATGTTATCTTTACATATCCGATGCTTTCACTTTAAAGTTTTGAGTAAAATCTGAAATATTGAGATTCTTCAACTCATCTAAAATTTGGCCATCCATATTGTTTACCTTTTTTTATCTCCAACTTTTGGAGCAAAACCGATATACCAATGATGTGTTTTGGTTTGTGGATATATTGTTATTTCATGACTTGTTAACTATAATCTCCATCTACTGAATTGACAACTCTATAGTTAGAAGCTCAAATAATTAAAAATAAATAAAATTTGGTGACTAACGACCAGGCCTCGGATGACCAACTACCCACCGATCCGGATTGCCGGGTAGTGAGCGATAATGGTAAAAGGGCATCATTCTCCATGATTTGACTTTCAAGGGAACATTTTTTTTAATCACATCGTTATTGGGTAGTAGCAGGTCACTATCACGTCTCTCTTGTTTTCCCCTCCCTATCTATCCAGCTCCAATATTTAATTTATTCCATAAATGACCTTTAGCTCCCTTCTGAAATTTCGGTTCTTATTAACCTCTGGGTTAATCAAAATCTCTTGTATTTTTTTTAAGTTTTAAATTTTGGGACCGTTAGTTTTGTAATTATTTTTTTTTTATTTTTTTCACAAATTTGATCATTTTATTTTATAAAATGCCAAACCCACATATTAGTCATCCATATTTTTTTTTGTGATTTGATATATAAATTTTATTGATGATAATAATTTATAATTATTATAATTAATTAATAATTATAATAATAACAATAATAACAAGAGTAGCATACTAATTGTTAAATATTAATTAAATGTTCATCTCTTATACGTCGTTTGATAAATTTTTTTTTTTTTTAACCATAAAAATTAATTTTTTGGAAGGATTATGCCAAGGAAGCAGGAAATGCACAGTATACTCCCATAGGAGTACAAAATAAGTAAATAATAATAACTATTAACAATAGTAACAAATATCTTGATTAATTATTTTTCAAGTTCAAATGATATTGATATAATTGTAAAATAGGTTAAAATGTTAAAGAAATTGTATTGTTTTTCGTGTCTAAATTTATGGAGTGGGATTCACGGAGGCAAGATTAATTTTAAGCATCGGAAGACAAAGAGAAGATAAAATTTTGTTAAATAAAAAAATTAAATTTTTAAAAAAATAGAAAAAAAACACAATTACACAGTTAATCGTCCCAAAATTTTAAATTGGAAAAGAAATGAGGATAAAAGTTTCAGGGAAGGGATAAAGGTCATTTTCCCCAATTTATTAAACACATCGTGCAAGTTGTCTGAAGCACTTACCATGTCAATTGGGAATTCCAAAAGCGACAATATAAATGGGACGGTTATGATCGATATAGACTTATGAAACAACCTTTATTCCCTCAGCAAACTGAATCTCTCTCTCTCTCT